TGTGTGTGTATGTGTGTGTATGTGTGTGTATGTATGTGTTATTTAAAATTTATTTTGTCGCATCAAATTTTTTTGCGACACCATATGTTTATTGTTGATGAGTTATTTTTCATTATATAAATTAATCAAATAATTCATTTTTTGTTCAACAATTTCTTGCAAAAGAGGAGAATAAGTTATGAAGAAATATGGAGAATGAATGGTCAAATTTTCTCTATTAATTTTTAATTTTTTTAAAGAAATATTTCCAAGATTCCATTAGGAGTAATGTTAACAGGTAAAAATTTAACTTTAATGGACAGAAAAAAATTTCTATCTGCTCATTTTAACGCATTTTAGAATATCTGCTGTAAAAATTATGGTCAGTTCTTTTTAGTTTTGTTCACTGATTCCTTTTGAGGAATTATTTATTTCACTCAAAAAATTGATTGAATTATGAGAAGAACTAAGTTAATCATCATTATTTAAACATTAAATTTTTTCCAATCATAATGAATTTAAGTATAACTGTAATTATAATTGCAACAAAATATCAAAGGAAGATTTTGCAAAATTATTTTCAAACCACGAAGTGTATTTTTTTTTAATTTTGAACTATTGTTAGAATTTAGTTTTTTTTCCTAGTTCATAATTACAATCTCAAAAAACATTCGCATTCAATTTTAACAAGTAATGAATTGAGTTATTTTCTTTGTTAATTTTTGGCACCGTTAATAATACAAAACTAATACGAATGTTAGCCTAATCTAAACAATTTAAGCATCTTCATAATTTCAATTCTTTATTAAAGGTATTTTTCGGTAAGGTTTATTTTGCCAAAATTACTATTTATACGGTAAAGTTTATTTTCGATTATGTTTGCTTTTTTTGAGGAACAAAAAACTTTCAAAAATTTTTGCAAGTATTTAAGGAATTTTCAACATATTTAAACCTTTTGCATTTCTTCATGTAATTTGTAAATTTTGCAGGATGGATAAATATTTTAAATTTCATCATTTAAATTATTTGAATAGTTTAAATTTATAAAAAGGAAACAAAACGGCAATTCGGTATGTATTAAAAAATATAAAATGAGCTGATTTTGAACATAAAAATATTTTAACGTATTGGATAGCAATATTATTAACAATCGAAAAAAAGGATTAAATATTAAAAATGTGATAATACGTTGAAATTTAATTCTTTTCATTCCAACAAACTTGTCTATCTTTTAAAATCAGTTTTCAGTTTGGTTCCCTTAATTAAATTGAAAATTTTAAATTTAACTATACTGTGCGTTTTTTGCAGATATATTTATTAAAAAATTGCAAAGATTCTTTCATTTTTTTGCTGCTAATTTAAAAGTCAAAAATTTGGAAGCATAGGGAATGTATTTACTTTTTCTTTTATAAATTTCAGTTTCAAATCTCTAAAGAGCACACTTTTACAGAAAACTTTAATGCTTGATGCTAATCGTTTTATCATTTTTGGTTGTTAGTGAAAAAATTCTTTCCTTTTTTAATCAAAAAGCATTTTATTTCATCATTTGAAATCTTTTTTTAGACAAAATTGTGATTTTAATTTAATGATTTTACTAATTTGGAAGTGAAATTTATAAAATTATTGTTTTAAATTTTAACGATTATCTTCTTTTTTTAAATATAGAGAAATGATATCAATATAATTTCTTCAAAATTTTCTATAAGTTTAAATTTGCATAACACGAGCGTTTATTCTTGCTGTTTTTTTCGTCAATAATTTATGAATTAAAAATTTTTAAAATTAAATTAAATTTAGTGTGATGTGGTTGTTCATTACTGTATTACTTGTTGTTATCTCAGCAGAAGTTAATAGGACAAACGACGAGAAGATAACAAATGAGGAGGACGAATCAGATGAGGAAGATTCAGAAGAGGAGCAATACGATGATGACGATGAGGAAGAATTTGAAAAAGATGAGAAGGACAGTTTAACGGATGGTATTATTAAATCTGAAAATCAATCTGAATCACATCCTCCAGGTAAGATATAATGATTTTGAAATCTGTACATGTTGTCCACTTTTTTTTCGAGAAAAAACTTTGAGTAAGAAAAAAGTTTCGAAGCATTCTGAATGGCAAAGACAGGAAAATTCATGGTTGCTTTGGGGTCTTTATGGAATTTTTCCTTTTTTGTTAGCAATATAAAGCAATTGAATTATAAATTTATTATGCATTTAGCATTTGGACCGAGAAGTACCAATGTAATAAAGCTTTCGTAAGTTTTTTCTAATACCATTTGAAAGTCAATCAATTGTTTCAATTATAACATTTTAAAATAAAATTAATTGAAAATTTCATCCGCTTGAAAATTTTTGCCGCTAAGCCGACACTTAATGTAAAGCTATTCAATTAAGAATCGAAACTGAAATTGAAATTTTCAATTTCTGAAAACTTTTAACTTTCCGTTGAAATATTCCTTCCCTATGATAAAAAAAAAATAAAAGCAAAATGACGCGTTTTCTCTATTCTATCATTGGAAAAGTCAAATTCCAAAAATATGAAAATCGCAGAGAGAAGAAAATTTTTAGACAAAAAATTATTCAATCCAAACTGCGTTCGAAATTTTTTTATGGAAAAAAGATTGCTAAAATAGATTAACGCAGATATTCCTTGTTATACATATGATTAGAAAGCCAGTAAATCCAAAATTTCCTAAAAATGTTCACCGGACCTAATTAGTAAAGTTAATAATAAGCACATTGTTTGCACTTTAATCGAATTCAAAAAAAGGATAAATGATTTAAATGCTATAAATTTAAATGTTACACTTTGAAAAAAATGATATTTATATATTTTAAATTGAAATATATTTTCTTTTAAAATTTTCGCTATTAAATGTTTTTCAGTCAAAATAAATGATGAGATTTCGAAATTATCGACGAAATGAACAGCGATTCAAGAAAACAATTGATAATTTTAGCTTTTCAAGATGTTGTATAGAATTCAATTTCAATTATATCATAGCACAGAGCATAAATGCGCATCGTCATACTTTCAACATGTTTTATTTTAAAATATCACCACAATTTGACAAATATTCATATGCTTTTTTTAAATTGTGGTTACGAAGAAAAATTTTTTTGTTGACTATTAAACAATTTTTCAAAATCATTAATTTTAATTTTAAAGTAATGGAATTTTCTGATCTATTGCTTCATTAAAAAAAATAATGTAGCAAACAAATGAGTCATCAAAATGTTGCATACATTTTGACATCTTGTAACCTTTACAATTGTCTTATAATTGGTTAATAAATAAAAATTTGGGTCTCTAAGAACTCCTTTGAAAGAGAATTTCTGTTAAATGATGAAATCAATAAAGATTGATAAGTTTGAATTCCAAAGTATTCTAATATTGCAAAATTTTTTCACATGATGTCAGCTATGTAATTCGAAAGACTTCGAGAGTTGATGAAATTTATGAAATAAATGTGTTTCTGACTTCAGGAATATTTATGTGTCATATTGAATTAAAAATTGGAAACTGATGAAGTGTTGAGAAAATTACCGCAAATGAAACAGTAATAAATGAAAATAGCTAATTAAGCAATGTTAAGCATGGGTGGATTTCGAAATTTTGAAACAAATTTATTTACAATGAGTTATTTTGATTATTGTTTTTGTGAAATAATAGAATAAATGAAACCAATTAATCTTTAACTGGTTTCATTTATTCTTCAATCTATTACACTGAATTCCTGCTTTTAGAAAACAACATTCCTTCTAATACAGTTGTTGAAGCCTGAAATTAATGGTTGCAATTATTAGTCATTGCTATTAGAACTCATATTATATGTTTAACTTTGTTGTTTAAAAAATGAATTATGCTAATACTGATGTGTTTTTTTTTTTAAAAAACCATATTAATATTAGCACAGTTCATTTTTCTTCATATCAATGCATTTCATCAACATTTTTTTTTAATAATTTATTAATAAGTTGAGAGATAATGTATTCGGATTAAATTTATCATTTAAACTTAAATAAATATGCAAATATCCCCTTTGCAGTTCTAAAATTTCCTTTTTCTTTTTCCGGAAGATGAAATTACTACATTTGCTTATGGTCAAATCAGTAATAAACTATCAATGTGCTATTATTGTATGTTACCTCGAAAAGGATATAGGCACGATGCCGACAATAATATGCATATTTCAAAGGCATAATTAATCGGTAGCGTGGTTAAGGAAGTGCAAAACACTTCACGCTTATACCACTATAACACTATTTCTTAGCAGTCCAGTTAAATGATCGGATGGACAATGGTTAGAGGACAAATACATTCATCATTCTGATGTCCTTGCATTGTGCTTCAGATTGAGACGTACGGTGTGATCTGTCTGTTACTGGTGGTACCAGTTGATGGTAAAATTGACTTATTCAAATTAGCATATCATATAATGTTTCGAAATTTTCATATATAGAAAAATATATCGGAAATTATTGGTTTCTTTTTTTTTTCAAAATCAAATTCAAAAAGCTTTAAAAATGATTTAAGAAGTTGAAAATCAAATAATTATGGCCGCAATAAATTATGCAAATGCTTAATATTTCAAATCAGATATTTTCATGTAGCAATATGCAAAACATACGAAAAGGAATTTATAGAATTTTTATCAAGTGAAGCAGCGCAGGGGTGATTTTATTTTCTATTTTAGAAATTTGGAATTCAAAACACTTTTTTTAAGCTTTTTGAATTTGATTTCGAAAAAAAAGAAGCTAATCTTCCGGTAGTTGGATGAAAGAGAAGAATGAACATTTCAAATGCTTAATATTCCTTTTTGCCTATTTTTTTTTTTCGATGCCTATTATTACTAACAATGCTTACAGAAAACAATGACCTTAGAGATCATGCTATATCTTTAGCAACTTTTTTTTCTTTTATCATTGTTACTATTGATCGAAAATTTCACGGTCAATAGTTCGTTGATACTTTTTTTTTTCTTTTCAGACCGGAAAGACAATTTGATTGTTTTGAAACAATTGTAGCAATAATGTGACAAATGTGTGTGTATGTGTGTGTGTGTGTGTGTGTATGTGTGTGTATTGACTGCAGAAAAACGGATAAAGACATAATAATTATAACCTATTCTGTCAAAAGTTGATGATTAAGCGCAAACTGTCAATTTACGGATTAACAAGTAATGATAGTTTGTCAATTTTTTTCTTCATAAGCAAAAATGGGATGAAAACACGTGCATCAGTAATCCGTAAATTGGTATAAAACAACAAATAGTAGTGGTACTTTATGGTTTTTTATGACAAATTAGCTTATTACCAAAATTTTTAATTAAT